TCGTTAAGCATCTGCCGTCAGCTCAGGTCATGATCCCAGGGTCCCGGGATGGAGCCCCGCATCGGGCTCCCTGCTCAGCGGGAAGCCTGCTTCTCCCTCTCCCACTCCCCGTTTGTGTTCCCTCTCTCGCTGTGTCTCTCTGTCAAATAAATAAATAAAAATCTTTAAAACAGGGGCCTTGAGTAGAGATTCTGGGACAGTCCAGGAAAGTGGAGACTCTGGTTGCTTCCCCTCTCCTTTTTCGGGTGATCTGTGGGATTCCATGCTCTGTTCGCTAGTTCTGAAAGCTCCGTTCTCCCTTCACCTTTCCAAGATGACCTGGAAAGTTATCTTCCCCTCATCCTCTCCCCAACCCTCTCACTCTTCAAAGAAGATGTAAACTTTGGGAAAGCAGTTCTTAATTATTTACCACACGGTCCTCCGGCAGACTACAAGAATCCAGGGCAAAGCAAGAGAGAAAGGCAAAAGAAAACCAAAACCCCAGGCTAATGATTTCCCTCAACAAGAATTTTTGTTATCATAAGGTAGTGTTTTATTTAGGTTATGGTTCTTTGGAGCAGGTGTTAAGCTATGTCTTCCTTGGGGCTGCGTTAAGACTCGTATTTTCCTTAATGAGACAGCAGCAAATCCAAGGGAGCAAAATAATGCTGATGGGAAGGGGACACTGAGACTCCTGAGGGGACAAGTTCACTCCTCACGGTCTATCTCAGAGACACAGGGCCAGGTTTGTACACGATTATCTAATTACATAATTTTACTTCCTAGCATGATGCCACAGTTTAAAACTGTACCTCATTCCCTTCCCTGCTTAATTTTTTCTCCAGAGCCCTTATCTCCTATCATACACTGTAATTCACTTAATAATAATAATAATAATAATAAATTTTTTAATCATTCTTTAAATGGCTGATGTCCCCTCTAGAATTGAAGCTCCTCGAAGGAGCTTATTTTATTACTCATTCAGGGCCTAGAGTTGTTCTGGCCCAAGATAGGTGCACAATAAATATCTATTGGATAAATGAATTATTAATCCCGATCAAAGCAATATTAATAAATAATAAATGTGATCAAGCTTTTTTTTAAGTGTATTTAATCTACAGACAACTGGTTGGACCTTTAAAATTATTTTGTATAAATCTTCTAATTGGATAAAATATGACAATAGGACCTTTACAAAAGCTTTGATGGTCAAAAGCCAAATGGAACCCATTTTCATCAGCATGGTATGCTCTTCTAAACATATACATGGAAGGATAAGCCTGTGCTGATGACAATAGAAACTCTTGTGTTTTCCTGATGCAGGCAGACTTACTTGAATCCCTAAAGCTAAGGGTATGGTTAGGCTCATTGTACTCATAACTGTTGCTAGCAGCAAGTTTAGCTGCTACTTACCAGCCCCATGGAACTCAGAGACTCACTAATTTTATATTCTTATTTCTGGACAAAGCACTATCATCCAATTCCATGGTTCTTGGTACAGGATCAGGCACTTTATGGGAACTCAAACCATTAAGGTGACTAGAGGAGTATATGCATTATCTGAGAGCTCCTCTTGTATTGGAGATCATATAATCACAGGAGATGCTTTCTAGCAGCGCCATGTCGGTGTAGTCTGAAAACCACTGTGGTGGCTCCAGCTTTTCCTTCCCCCTCCCCAAGACTCCTACTCCGGGGGCCAATCTAGTGGGAGTGAAACTGGGCTTATCTGAGTGGCAAAGTTCACTTTTGGTTGAGATTTAAGTAACCTCCTTGTCTCATGCAGTGTGACCTCTTTCAACAACTGGTCTGAAGAACTGATAAAGGACTAGAATTATCTAGAGGTAGGAGGAACAACTGGCCTCACTGGGCTTAAATTAATATGGCAAGTTGGTGAATCCAAAAAGGGCATTTACAAGCCAATTCTCTGTAAGACTACATTAATGACACTTGACTACTTTCCTTATTTATTTATTTATTTATTTATTTGAGACAGAGAGAGAGAGAGAGAGAGACAGAGAGAGTTCATGCCGGGGCGGGGGGGGGAATGGGGGCAGAGAAAGAGAGGATCTTAAGCAGGCTCCACGCCCAGCACAAGCCCAACTCGAACCTTGATTTCATGACCCTGAGATCATGATGCTGAGATCATGACCTGAGCTGAAATCAGGAGTGGGATGCTTAACTGACTGAGCCACCCAGGTGCCCCTACATTTGACTGATTTCTAAACAGAGGAAAGCTTGGGTGGGTGTGTAAACATGTGCAAATCACAAAGCTGTGTAACACCTGTGCCACTCTTGATTATTTCATATATTTCAATGTGGCCCTTGGGGAAAAAGCCTCATGTGGGGACACCTGGGTGGCTCAGTCAGTTAGGCATCTTCCTTTGGCTCAGGTCATGGTCCCGGGATCCTGGGATCAAGTCCTGTGTCAGGCTCCTTGCTCAGTGGGGAGTCTGCTTTTCCCTCTGCCTGCCACTCCCCCTGCTTGTGCTCTCTCTCTGACAAATGAATAAATAAAATCTTTAAAAAAATTTTTTTAAAAAGGCCTCATGTAAACCATTTGTCTAGTGGTATATGGGGATTCATGAACTCCCAAGTTCTAAATCCACTCATTTTTTTTTTATTTTGGCCAATTTATTTTTAAAAACCAGCTTTATTGAGATATAATTCAGACATTTCAAGTACACAATTCAGTAGTCTTTAGTATACTCACAGTGATATAAACATCACCAGTCAACTTTAGACCATTTTCATCACCCCAAGACACCTGTATTCAACTTTTCTTTTAATTTATTTATTTGAGAGAGAGAGAGAGAGAGGAAGCAAGAGTACATGTGAACAGGAGGAGGGGGAGAGGTAGAGGGAGAGAATCTCAAGCAGACTCCCTGCTGAGCTTGGAGACCGATTCAGGGCTCCATCCCAGAACCCTGAGATCATGACCTGAGCTGAAATCGAGTCAGATGCTTAACTGAGCCACCCAGGCGCCCCTGCCACAGCAACTCACCATCTTATATTCCTACCACCAATGTGTGATGATCCCGATTTCTCTACCTCCTTTCCAACAGTGTTATTATCTGCCTTTTTTATTATGGTCATTTTGGTTGGTGTGAAATGGTACCTTATGCTTTTGATCTTCATTTCCTTAATGACTACTGATAGTAAGTACTTTTTCATGTGTTGATTGGCCGTGTGTACATCTTCTTTGGAGAAATGGCTCTTTGATTCCCTTGCCCATTTTTGAATGGCTTATTTGTCTTTTAGATGTTAAATTTTTCTTCATATGCCTTAAGAATGGGGGTAGTTGGAGGAAGAGCCTGAGACCTCTTGCCTGCTCCTGCCTAGACGAAAGTTTCTACAACACAAAACGGGTGGTAAGATGCCAGTAGCCTGCTTTTCCCAGGGTATACCATAGCCCTACACTGGGATCTAAGTTGAGAGGGAGCCCTGTGTTCTTGGCTGCAGGCCCCGGGAATGGAGCACCACCCCCTAGCTGGAAGGGGGCAGGGAAGTGGGTTGTGACTGAAATGCCTCACACTCCTGCTGTTCTTACTGAATTGCAGTAGTTTGTCTTGAGTAAAGTTTTCCTCATTTGTTGTCTTTCCTCAGAACAATTTCCAGAGACGAAATAGCTCATCTGTAATTTTCACCAGTGGTTGTTTTGCTACAGAGTGGGTTCATGGAGCTCCTCACACAACCTTTCTGGAAGTTGAGTTCCTTTTGAATAATTTTTAATGCAAATGTTGCATCTGTTATACTTGGTGGTAAAAGAGTTTATGTTGACATAGTAGATAGAGAATTATGAAGGACAGTTTTTACAAAAGTAAATTTTGTAAATTTATTAACATTGGATTAAGAGAACTGATTGAAGTTGAGGCCTGGTTGACTTTTAACTTTATATCCAGTCAAATTCTAGAATGCTCATGCATTTGATTTGACAAACTATTCTTAATTTATTGTTATTAAATGGCCGAATAGAAATATTTGAATAATAAGGGTGACAGCGCATTTCATATGAGATTATTGCTCTAGTAATCTATGTACAAAGCCATCAAAGCCATTGACAGTTATCAAAATGATTCCTGTTTTTGAAAGCACAGGAATAATTAAAATGTGAAAATCAAGTTATTAAAACCTCATTAGTTTTATGCGTTAATCTAAAAAGTTCACAGGCAAAAATGTCCATGTATTTCTTAATTAATTCAAAAGAACGACCACATCACTATGTCTTTTATAAAAACAACTTTCCCAATTTCCGTGATGAACCCGTTTGTAGTTTTAGGGCTAAGATTTACATTTAACAGTTCCTCAAATTCTTTATTGAATCAGGAGCTGAACTCATCTATGTTAATTGCCAACCAGTCGAATATCACTTTAGTTGAAACAGACATAGAACCTCGGCTCATATCTAAAACCCTCCTCTTTCCATTCCTTTCCATTCCATGGCAAAGCTAACTATTCCTTTCTCCTGGGGTTTAGAAGTCTGGTTACTCATGAATGATCACATAACCATCTTTGAGAAAATACATACTGCTTAATAATCATGAGAAAATGTTAAAATGTACTCCTTGTTGGAAATTCTTCACTTTTTGGGCAGTTGACTTGTGCGTACTATCACCTAAAGTAGCTTTAGGGGCAAAAAGTATTATATAAGAACATAACACTAGAATATTTAAGAATGAAACCAAGCACCTCCCAAAGATATTTCCCTGAATAGTTACTGAACTACACAAAGATAAATATGAAAGTAATTCACAAAGTAATCTCTTCTTTGGGCTGGGAAAGTTTCGGTAATAAAGTTTGGCTTCTGTTGAGTGAAACCTCTTAGTTTCTAACTATGTTAGAAAGGCAACGGTGTTACTAAGGTAAATGGAAAAACCCATTCAATTCTTAAAATTTTAATACAGTTAAATAATAAACTGATAAATTGCATTAAAGCTAGGATTAATTTTTCCCCTATAGAGACAGGAATTCTAACCTACTAAAGCTACTTTAGCGTTCAAGCATATATTTTGGAAGATGCTTACCTCCCGGTTGGGTGTATCTCCCTGCGGCTTAGGTGAGCGCCCAGGCTTTGGCTCCTCCCCAGCTGCTGCGAGCTTCCCACTGCGCCGGGCGCCTCAGAGCCTCCTGGAGTTAGGTGTTCGGCCCCGCCCTCTGCACTATTGCTAAAACTCCAATTCTGCCAGACCGATTCCGGTGATTAATTATTGACAAAAGGAAAACACTCCCGCGCAAACTTGTGTCCAACCGCACTGCTCCCAGCGATTGCTTCCAGAGGAGAATGCCGGCTGCACCACTCCCCTCCCCCTTTGCTCTACGGTCCCAACTTCCCACACGCTGCCACTCTCTGTCCTGGGCGATCAGGCTCGTCCTCGGAGGAATGCAGCCCAGCGACTTCTACATTTTTTAAATTTGGTTTTCTGCAGCTCGTTAGCACTTCTCCGGGGACCAGCCTCTCAGGAGGGGGCGCTTTCCGGATGCAGGGGAAGCAGGGGCTCTGAGAGCAACGGAGGAGGCGAAGGCGTCGCTGTCACCTCCGGCTGCTGCAGTAAAACCCCGAGCCGCGGCGGGGTTGGGGAGGAGGGGATAGGGAGGTGTCCTCCCCCCTTGCTTGGGCTGGGAGCCCCGACACTACCAGAGGGGCACGTCCTTCGGTAGTGGTGGTGGGGGCGGGCAGATAAACGGGAGGCGCGAGGTGGGAGCTTTGGGGCTTTAGCCGGAGCCAGCGTTAACCCGACCACGGGAAGCCTGCGCCCCGCATCCATCCATCTGCAGACTTGGGCAAGGGGGCGAAGCTCGGCGGATGCTGAGCAGGACTGCGGTGTGAAACTCGGCAGCAGGCTGCGAAGTGAGCCCAGGGCTCCGGGCCGGGGCGGCAGTCGGCCGAGCAGGCATCTCCCTACATTTGTTTGTCAAAAATCGAAGAAAGTAAACCCATTTAACGTCGGCAGCTGATTTTGGTGCCTTCGAACGCGCAAAAACGCCTCTCCCCGCCCCACTCCCTCCATCCTGCCCCGTTCCCTCCGCCCCTTGGCTGGGAGGTTAATCGTTGAAAAACTGGGCCCCCCCGGGGAAACAGAAGGAAGGATCGTGCCCGGGGAACTTGTGTGTGCTCACTCACAAGTGAAGAGAATTAATCCGGGCCCGGACTGCGGCAGGAAAGCAAACTGGGGAGAGCGGGCTGGGAGGCGTCTCGGCGGTGCAGACCCGCGCGGCGCGGGCTCCCGCGGTTCCGGGGCCGGCGTGCCCAGCGCCCGCGCTCCACTCTCAACGATCTTCCCGAGGAGGCGCGGGACCGCGAAGAGCATCTTCCCTGGAAGCCCGCATCCAGAACACCATCGATCCCTTCTCTACCGAGCGCAGGATGCTTAGATTTAACGTGGCGGCTGCTGGCTGCGAGCGCAGAGGCCCTTGAGGATCACGGCCCCGATATCTCCGCCACCGAGACTCTCTGCCCAAGGCCCGGGGACGTCCGGGGCCCAGAGCCTCTTGTGATTAATGAGCATTTGGGCAACTGCCAGTCAGCCCCCACTGCTGAAGGAGGAGGCACTGCACATGCTCGGCCAGGGCTGATGGTGCTGAAGCGCGAATTTGAGCTGCGGGCAGGTTTCTGCTCGTTTTCACCACACTCTTCCAGCAGGTTCCAAGCCGCGGGTGCCACGAAGAGGGAGGTTTACGTTATTGAGAGGGATTTTCTCCTCGCAGGAGGGGGTGCGTCCCCAAAGGAAGCTGAAGGTGGTTGGGGCCAGGGAAGGGAGCCACTAGGAACGGAGGAGCACTTTGGAACATGTACTGGCCAGTTTTTACATGGTTATCTTTTCCTTCTCTGGAACTGTATCTAAATATGAGCAACCACGCCTAGTATTTTTTTATTTCATTATCACTTTGTGTTGTTCACATTCCTTATCTCGCTGCCTCTCCTGACAAACCTTGTAATTTCGGCAGAGCAAGTAAGACCACACCATTGAGGCGTGGAAATAGATGAGGAAATAGAAAACCTGAAAAGTGACTTGTCCAGGGTCACCAAGCCCGTTGTGTGGTAGGACCAGTACTATTACACTAGTTTTTAGGTCTCGTTCTTCATTATCTAGTTCTCTTACTGGATCTCGCCAATCACCATGTGATTGTACATTTGTGGAACTATAGAAACAGGCCCCTTTTCTCTGCCAGAGATTTGTGAAATGGATAGGAGACCTTGCAATTACTTCAAGTGGAGGTTGGGAGAAAGTGGTACATTTGGCAGAAGCATCCAGACTATTAAAAAGGATCTTAAATGACATATGTGTAATATAACCACATACAGATAAAAGAGATGTGTATCTTTTCACCTCCAAATGGAAAATAGATTTTTTTCTATCTAATCATAGAACATTCTCAAAACTTAACTAGATCATAAAATAAAGATCACATTTTTAAAAGACAGGGAAATCATACAGACCACATCAACTATTGAAGCACAATGAGGATAAAATTAACAAAAAAAACTTAACACGAAAAATTCCTTCTCATTGATATACAACTGGAAATTTAAAAATGCTTTAAATCTAGATTAAAGAGAAGAACAAATGAGAAATTACAAAATCTTTAGAAATAGAAGAAAAAAAATCCTGCATAACAAAATCAGGAGAGTATTGAAAAGCAGAAATCATAAACCTTAAATGTATTTATTGCAAAATAATGTACAAACCAAGAAACTTAGAAGAAATTGCAAAAGAATTATATTAACTAGTAAAGATTAAGCAGAAATTAATGAAATAGAAAAATAAAAATCCAGGAGAATTGATCAATAAAAGAAAAAAACTTATTCACTGAATAAAAATCAAGGAACAAAGATACAAGTAACATCAGGAAGGAAAGATGGAAGGAAAGATTATATATAACCAAGAGAAGGAGGATATTAAAAAAAAAAGTCTCAAATGATGTTCTTTTGCCATGAAGAGGATTCTCCCTTTAAGCTAACTACAAATTGTGAGATAAGAAATGGTTAAGACACACCACAGCTTATGGAAAGGGGAATAAGATTTAAAGAACCAGGCAGAATTGTTTAGAATATAATAGTATGAGAATTTGAAGTAATGATAATTTATCAACTGAACATTTTGAACAAGGCCTTTTGTTGTCATTATCATAAAGCAGCTGTTGAATTCTTTAGGTATTCCAGCAAGCATGGAGTAGAAATCTTTTAGCAGTAGTAAAAGTTAAAAGTAATAGAAGAGTATATTCCCTTAGGTAACCTGGGAGGTTTGAGGACAAATATGGGAAGGGAATGGGATCATGTTGTAAAAGCTGTACCGATTGACCCAGAAAGGTTGTGTGGAATGTATCTGGAGTTCAGCATACCAGGAAGGAGAAAGGACCTGATGTGAGAATCCACTTAAAATAACCAGCTGTCAGTTACCAGATCTGGTATGCATCTGCTGAGAACCGTCTTACTCCCGGGGGAGCAAAATGAACAGTTTGAAATATGAGTTTTCTCAAGCTTCCAAATGTAACCAGGGTGTCCTGGTAGAAAAAGTTATGGACTTTGGGACAAAATCGCCCTGGGTTCAAATCCCAGCTTTTCTACTAACAAACTGTAGTCTGAGACAAATTGTCTATTATTTCTATACATTAACTTTCTCATCTGCAAAGTGGGAATAATATTGACTTCATTGGGTTTGTCTGAAGAATTAAATGAACCACCATTTACGAAGTACTCATACAGTTCTCCATCTCCCTCCTCCCTGGCTTTTCCTCTTCCCTTCCTTCCTCCATTCTCCTCTAAATACCATCATTCAGGAACTTCTCTTCTGTATTTTGACATTTCTTCTGTTTTGTTAGTGGAACTCTATGTTCCTTCCCTTTCTTTCAGTGACTCAGCCACCTTCTCCATGGCTCTTTAGCATTGAGAAATCCAAGCTTCATGACTGAGCACCTTTGGAATACTTTAGAAAGACCCCCCTGAATTGAAAATTAACTCAGCCCCCTCTTACAAAGTGCATGGCAACAACAGGATTGCCCACCTGCACGTCAGTCTTTCCTCCCTCCCTCCTTTCCTTCCTTCCTTCCTCCCTCCCCCCCATCTCCCTCCCTCCTTTTCTTTACTTCCTTCCTAGTACACTTTTTTAAGTTCCTATGGAGCTATGTTCTAGCAGCGTGAGTGAGTGAGTAAGTGACGTTGCTCCAACTCACTGATTCCAGTTTCACAGATATGCATATGCTTAGGCTGAAGTCTTTCATTGTGGGAAGACCCTAACCCTTAAACAGTCTCAGTTTTAATAATAAAATAAAGATCATATTAATAATGAGAGCCAGTAGTTCTAAAAATTGGAAAAGCAGTATTTCATTAAGGAACTAATGTGACCGTCCCATTAACTATCAACAAACATGAGATGTACCATAATAGGCACAATTCTTGCCCTTAAAAGGATACTTCTTAGCAATAAAGAGACCCCCAAAGAACAATACAGAAACCCCCAGAGCCGTTGTAAGACCAGTTTAACAAAAGATTCTCCAATATGTATCTACAGCTATTCGGACAAGACAAAGAAGACAATGGAAAGCCAATGAAATCAAGAGAAAAGAATACAACCCCAACTAACTATATCAGCAACATCTATCTCTCTTTATCAACTCTTATTCTCTTATGTTCATTTTATGATCAGGAGGAGAAAAAGTAAGAAACCCAGTAACAGGAGTGTTTAAAAGTGAAAACAGGGGCGCCTGGATGGCTCAGTTGGTTAAGCGACTGCCTTCGGCTCAGGTCATGGTTCCAGGGTCCTGGGATCAAGCCCCGCATTGGGCTCCCTGCTTGGCGGGAGGCCTCTTTCTCCTTCTCCCTCTCCCCCTGCTTGTGTTCTCTCTCTCGCTGTCTCTCTCTCTCTCTCTTTCTGTCAATTGAATAAATAAATAAAATCCTTAAAAAAAAAGCAAAAACAGAAATTTGAGACAAATTTTATGGACTTCTTTCTGGTTTGCTTTCACAGTGTGCAGGTTAACCCTTATTTTTATTTTTTAAATTTTTAAAATTTTATTTCAAAGATTTATTTACTTATTTGAGACAGAGAGAATGAGCCAGCTTGAGGTGGGGTGTGTGAGGTGGGATGGGGGGAAAGGAGCAGAGAGAGAAGGATAAGGGGGTGAGGGGCAGAGGGAGAGGGGGAGGGATAAGCAGAGTCCCTGCTGAGTGTGTGTGGGGGGGCTTGAGCTTGAGGTGGGGCTCCAGGTGGGGCTTGATCCCAGGACCCTGAGATCATGACCTGAGCCAAAGTCAGATGCTTAACTGACTGAGCCACTCAGGCGCCCCCTTAACCCTTATTTTTTAAAAAACATTATTAGGTTAGTACTAATTATTTTTATGATGACATAAAATACTCTAACTCTTTATAACACTGAGAATTCTAAAGGTTTGTGAAGTTGACATGTACTAGTTTTTACCGAGTCATCAACTAGCTTTGCAGTAATTCTGCACCCTTGGCTAAGCCAGCTAATGTCTCCAGAACCACATCATGGTTAAACCCAGGTAGTTGCATAAATTATGGGAATATATTAATTAACTCAAAGAACCCATCTCAATTTCCTTCTGGTTAGTATAAGGATCTTCATTAGTAATTTTTTATTTATCCTTGTTTTCTCTGAATAAGGGTGTAATTCTGTTTTTCTGTTAAATGGAAAACATTTTTTTCCCCTCCTGGTTACATTGTTATATAGATGCAACTGATATCCTCCATTACTATCAATTGCTGTGTTTCAGTTTCCCTCTATCAACATAGAATTTTATTTTCTTCCTTAATTAGAACTGTAAGGTTGAAAACAAACAAACCAACCAGGAAAGTTGTATGGCTTGTGTCTTTGAGCTCTATGTCAAACTTCAAAAGAATAGTAATAATAACAGTGATAAAGATAATAATAATGTTGATATAACTATAATTTATTGAACTGTTACTGCCAAGGTTTCCATACATCATCTCTTTGTCTTGCCACAAGTTCGCAGGGTAGGAGTTTTTATCTCATTTTTATAGACAGTAAACCAAGAATCAGAGAGGTTGTAACTCCTCTAAAGTGACACAACTTTAAGAGTTGTCTGTCAAACCCTGTCATTTGCCGTATCCTCCGTTGGCTCACTATAAACAATCTTTCCATGATTTCTCGTGTATCACTTTTCTCAAAGAAGGTGGCTGTGTTGTGCTGGTTAAGAGAACAGATATTGGAGCCAGACCTCCCATATTTAAATCCATGACCACTTAACTTGTGAATGAGGACAACTTACTTAAACTTCTCCAAAGCCTCAATTTCTTCATCTGCCACAAAGGATAATAAATGTATTAAGTTACTTAAGTTAATATACAAAAGGCAATCAGAAGTGTGCCGGGCATTGAGTAAATGTCTCATAAGTGTTCCCTACTGTTGTTTTGAGAGTTCAATGAGATTATAATGCATATAAAGCAGTTAGCTAAGTATCTGACCCTTAGAAAATGCTTAATACATCTCTTTTGCTTA